GGCCCTCCCCGGGTTTGCTGCTGGTTCTTCCCGGGTTGGCTACCGTCCCTTCCACCTCCGTGGAAGGGCGGTTCCCCCTGCCACTTTCCCCACTTCCGCGGGGGAGCAGCACACCGCCGGCCGGCTCTCTCGGGGGCTGCACAGGTGTTCCTCTTAGATGTTCCCCTTAGATGTTCCTGGTGCATGTTGTCTCTCTCCTCCTTTATAGTCCTCTTCCGCCAAGCCCAACTCTGCTACCCACACGCCAAGTACGCTGCTCTCCTCCAATCAGGAGCAAGTCCTACAGTTTATTGGTTGAACTGGAGGCAGCTGTGTAGAAGCTGTTTCCCTTCTCAGCGCCATATTGTGGAAGAGCAGATGCATAGAATAAGTCTTAATTCCAGTAACTCAGTCCAGTCCGGGTTGCTCCCCACGTAGAATACCAAAAAATGTACAGGAATGAAATGGTCATTTTGGGATATAATTTTTATTTTTAGCCTTTATTTATATTCATGTGGAACTGTATTCTTCCTACTTTTTATTTGTTGAATATAATGATAAACCTGGAATATAGAGTGGATTAAAATTATGTCATAACAAAAACTGTTGAAGAACAGGGAGGGAGGGAGAGAGGGAGAATTTTGGGGAAGCAGGAAAGTGTGGGTTTCTTCTTGGAATTGTACCTATGGAATGCATAATATCTGTTCTCTTTATATTAATAAAAACATCTTGAAAAAAGAAGCAATGGCACTGTGCAGAATAATAATAAAGGGAAGTCCCAAGAACAGTGTAGCAGCAGCTAGGCTGGAGAAACCAAGCCAGCTTAGACCAGGAGGATAGACGGTTCCGGAAGGGATGTCCGATCTCCATGGGGAAACTAAAATAGATTATCTACTGCAATCATGGAAAAGGGAAAGTGTGCATGTGGCAGACAGGGAGAGAGAGAAGCTGAAGACCCCATCTCTTCCAAAGAAGCCAATAAATAGGGTCTAAGCTTTATAAATGCAGTAAAATGGCAACAGAACCAGATTGTTCAAAACCCCTAACATGAAATAGCAGTATAAACAGTTGAAGCGTTCATAGTAGTTGCTCCAGGAGAGCAGAAATTAGGAGAAGGAAGGGATGAGCCAGGGCTTCTGTTTTTTCATTAAAAGCTGCAATTGACTAAAGGGGGCCATGAAGTCTGACATTCTTCCCCTAGAGAGGTGGGGTCTATTTTCTCTCCCCCCGAATTCAGGCTGGCCTGTAACTGCTTGAGGGATAAAGTACCAGTGGACACACCATGCTGTCATTGTCAATCCTAGCTTTTTAAGAGGATTCAACGCTCCCACCAAGGTCTCTTGGGATGATTGAACAATCAGGTAAAAGAATACATGGAAAAACCCTGAGGCTGCATGCAGAGAAAGAACCTGCTGGGCCAAACCTTCTCATCACCCAGCAAGATACCAGGCTTGTGACGGAAGCAGTCTTGGACCCACCAGACCAGAGCAGCCACCAGCTAAAACATGATCAAGTCCATGCCATGTGGGACAGAAAAATTACCCCCACTGTGCCCAACTTGAGTTCCTCATCTATAAATCCTGAGTTATAATAAAATTGTTGTTGGTTTGACTGAGAGCGCGTGGGGATGGTTTATTCTACAGCAACAAATAGCTATAACATAAATCTTTTAGTATTTAGTAGTAACAAATACACAGTTATTCTTAAGTGTTGAAATTTAACTGAAATGTGATCCCTGTTAAACATAAGAGTAGGAATAAGAGAGGGAAGAGATGTACAATTTGGGACATGCTCAAGCTGACTTGCCCCAAATGGTAGAGTTAGAAACATACCAGGGGACTCCAATTTAATCCCATCAAGGTAGCATGTACCAATGCCATCTCACCAGTCCAAGTGATCAATTTCAGTTCACAATTGATCATAATGAAAGGACTAAGAGTCAAAGGAAGCACATAAACAAGTCTAGCACCTGCTAATACTAACTGATAGAATAAATAAAGGGGAGAGTGATCCAACATGGGAAGTGAGATACTCAGCAGACTCATAGAATGGTGGATGTCCTAAACAGCACTCTGGCCTCAGAATCAGCCCTAAAGGCATTCCGATCTGGCTGAAGAGCCCATGAGAGTATCATAGGCATGGAAAGCCAAGACACTCTGGCAAAAAAATAAAAATAAAAAAATAAAAAAATAAAAAATTTTAAAAAAACACCCTAAATGAAAGATCTCTGTGAGATCCCAGTGGAAAGAACAGGTCTTCAAAGAAGGAGGTACCTTTCTCTGAAGGGAGGAGAGAACCTCCACTTTGACTATGACCTTGTCTAAACAAGATAAGAGTCGGTGAACACAAAAGGCTTCCATAGCCTTGGAAACTCATGACTGGTGCATAGGGAGATTACTGATGCCATAAACAGGAGTGTCAATTTGTAAAGTCAACAACAGGAGTCACTGTGCACTTACTCCTCATGTCGGATCTCTGTCCTTAATGTGCTGTACATTGAGACTTAATGCTATAATGAGTACTCAAACAGTATATTTCACTTTGTGTTTCTATGGAGGTGCAAACTGTTGAAATCTTTACTTAATGTATACTAAACTGATCTTCTGTAAAAAAAAAAAAAAAGAGAGAAGAAATTATCAATTCCCAACTTGACTCTCACTGGGATTAAACATGACAATAGGCAATAGGTCTGATCTGATTTCATCATCATTTAAAAAATCATCTATTGGCCGGCGCCGCGGCTCACTAGGCTAATCCTCCGCCTAGCGGTGCCGGCACACCGGGTTCTAGTCCCGGTCAGGGCGCCGGGTTCTGTCCCGGTTGCCCCTCTTCCAGGCCAGCCCTCTGCTGTGGCCAGGGAGTGCAGTGGAGGATGGCCCAGGTGCTTGGGCCCTGCACCCCATGGGAGACCAGGAAAAGCACCTGGCTCCTGGCTCCTGCCATCGGATCAGCGCGGTGCGCCGGCCGCAGCGCGCCGGCTGCGGAGGCCATTGGAGGGTGAACCAACGGCAAAGAAAGACCTTTCTCTCTGTCTCTCTCTCTCACTGTCCACTCTGCCTGTCAAAATAAATAAATAAATAAATAAATAAATAAATAAAAAATCATCTATTATTTTTCACTTTATGTTTGTGTGGGAGCAAACTGTTGAAATCTTTACTTAATGTATGCTAAACTGATCTTCTGTATATAAAGAGAATCGAAAATGAATCCTCATGTGAATGGAAGGGGAGAGGGAGTGGGAAGGGGGAGGGATGCGGGTGGGAGAGACGGACGATATGGGGGGGAAGCCATTGTAATCCATAAGCCATACTTTGGAAATTTATATTCATTAAATAAAAGTTAAAAAAAAAGAAAAAAAAGAAAAAAAATTTTTTAACTGTACAGTTTTCATAAAAATAGTTTGATGTGAATAAGGTCAATGGATTATATCAATGTCACCTTCATGGATGAGATATTGTACTATATAAGAGTATGCCAGGCTGAGAGAAATTGGATGAAGGGCATATGGAGTCTGTCCTTACTATTTCTTACAATTGCATGAAAATTTATCATTATATCAAATCAAAGTTAAGAAATAATTTGAATATTACTTGTCACATTACTCTCTATATTTTTTTCATTTTATTTTATTTATGTGAAAGACAGAGACAGGTAGAGGCAGAGAGAGTTCTTCCATCTGCCGGTTCACTCCCCAAATGGTTGCAATGGCTGGAGCTGAACTGATCAGAAGCCAGGAGCCAGGAGCTTCTTCCCGGTCTCCCAGGTAGGTTCAGGGACCCAAGGACCTGAGCCATCCTCTGCTGCTTTCCCAGGCACATCAGCGGGGACTTCGATCAGAAGTGGAGCAGCCAGGACTCGAACCAGAGCCCATAGGGGATGCTGGCACTGTAGCCAGGGCTTTAGCCCACTGTGCCACAACACCAGCCCCGATATTACTATATATTTTAATAAAAGTGGTATCATAGGGGCCAATGTTGTGGCATGGTGGGTTAAGCTGCTGCCTGGAACACTGACATCCTACACACAGGCTCCCATTTGAGTCCTGGCTGCTCCGCTTCCTATCCAACACCCTGTTAATGCGCCTGGGAAAGCAGCAGAGGAGTCTCAAGTGCTCCGACTCCTGCATCCATGTGGGAGACTGGAGGAAGCTCCTGGCTCCTGACTTCAGCCTAGCATAGTACCTAGATGTTGCAAGTATTTGGGGAGTGAACCAGCGAACAGAAGCTCTCTCTGTCATTCTAACTCTACCTTTCAAATAAACAAGTAAATCTTCATTAAAAAAATAAATGTTTTACATGTTATTCTACATTTTTCCACTTCACATTCTGTTCCTATTTCAAGTGAGATCAAGTACATTCAGGGTGGTATGACCATAGATTCTGTTATTATTTAAATGTCAGTATTTACAAACCTTGTTAATTGATTTCAATTGTTGCATTATATTCCATTACGTGGATTCAACCAATATCTTATTAATGGATATTTAAGTTGTTTTCCTTTCTAGATACTATATGGTTGTATTAGATTTTTTGTTACTACATTAAATACTTGAGGAAGATTGTCCAGACATGCAATTTCAATGTGTGTGCTTATACAATTAATTCAAAGAGGATCTTCACAAAGAAATAATATTTTCAGTTGTTAATGTCTTAAAAAATCTCTTGAATTAGAATAATGTCATCTCTGTTCCTCATTCTTGAATCTAACTTGTAAAATTAAAGCTTTGTCTATGTCAGTTGAGAAAAAAAAAGAAGCGGCTTATTAGCTTACAGCTTGGGATGTTCAAGTTCTAGATTGGGTGGTCCCATTGGTTGGGGACTGTGGGACAGATAAGCACTTACAGAGGAAACATCACAGGGTGAACAAGGAAGCATACAGAATGCCTGGGCCAAACTCAAGCTTCTGTAAACAATCCTATGGTGACAACTACTTTCCAAGGACATGAGGGACTTCTCACTAGGCCCACTTCTTAAACACCATAATTGGATTACATTTCTACCCCTATAGTATCATTACCTTACCATTCTGTGCTTTAAATGTTGGTATGAGTTCAGGAGCCAAGCCATGTTCATAGCAGTTCTCTATGAGTTCAGAAGAATTCTAAGTTCCCCTTGAGTCATAATATCAGAGATTGGACAATATGTCAATATCTGCCTACTCTCAACCAAAGAAATGTATTTCTACCATTCTTAAATTAAATCCTTTCCTGTCTTAATGTCTTCCCCAAGCAGTTGTAGAATCATTCATCACTTCTAAATGCAAGCAGTCTGCATAGAGACATAGAAATATGTAGGTAAATCCATGATTAACTATGAAGTTAGAGATATGTCTACATAGTTAATTCTGCTTCTGGAAAGCAGACTGCTGGATGTTGGAGGAAACAACATAAATTGAACTAAAGCTCTAGCCCTGATTGTGCTGTCCAAGAGGCTACTAAAGAATAGAGATACCTGACAAAGAACTGAGCTCCATAACTAGGCCTCAGTGCTGGAGTAGGCATTTAGTCTAGCGGTTAAGACACTCGCACTCCACACATGTTACCTTGGCTCCAGACTCTACTTAGACCCTGGACTCCAGTTTCCTGGTAATGCCAGGAAGGCAACAGTGATGGCTCAACCAGTGAGGTTCCTCCTACCCATGTGGCAGATCCAGTTTACTTTCCCAGCTCTAGGCAGGCCCAGTCATAACACTGCAGGTATTTGGATAATTAATCAGCAGATGGGTACCCCCTCCCCCGTGTGTGTGTGTGTGTAAGTTTCGAAAAAAGGTTTTTGAGGTGAGTCAGTGGCCTGTTTTAAATGCTGTGAAGTAGAAGTGAATTGAAACCATGATTTCTCCTGCCATTTCATTAGTTAAGTCTACCACTTCTGAGCTGACAGTATAGCCAGGAACACCTAAATACAGCTGTTTTCACAAAAGAAAAATTTCAGAAAAATATTTGCATGTTACTGTATAAGAAAGCCCAAGGACTATGAACACTTTCAGTAAAATCATAGTGAATTTAAAATATGCAAATCAAAGTCTCTTCTTACTTAAGAGCTCATCACAGTGATTAAGACATCACTTGGGGAGCTGGTGCTGTGGCGTAGTGGATAAAGCCGCTGCCTACAGTGCCTACATCCCATATGGGCACCAGTTCAAGTTGACTGCTTCATTTTGGATCCAAGATGAAGCCAGGCAGATCTAGAAATTGCCCTACAAACCAGAAAAAGCAGTGGGCCTTGCTTCATTTTATATTTGGATTAAGTATGATATAAAGCTTTCTTTTTCCTTAAATTCTTTTCATTATTTTGATGACTGAGGAGAAATGCTTTTATGATGCTAAGATGCTCTACTAAAAAAAATTTATTTGAAAGGCAGAGTGACAGAGTGATACACAGAGAGATATTCTATATCCGCTGGGTCACTCCCCCAAATGGATGCAGCAGCCAGCATTGGGTTAGGATGAAGCCAGAAGCCTGGAACTCCATCCAGGTCTCCCATGTGTATTGTAGGGCTCCAAGCACTTGGCCATCTTCTGCTTCTTTTCCAGACACTTTAGCAAGGAGCTGGATTGGAACTGCAGCAGGCAGGATCTGAACTGGCTCTCAAAGGGGATATTAGCAGCACAGTGGCAGTTTAACCCACTGTGCCATATGCATACCTGACACTTTGTGATTTTAATGATAGAAGTCTTGAATACCAACAGTGCTTTTCTTAAAAGAATTCTTTCCAGAGCTTCCATCATCCTGTTCCATTTTAAGCTTTTATGCAACTATCATCCAGCAACTGCTTTTCATTGAACTTCTGGCTTCTACTGTTTTTGGAATCTGTATCTGCCTCTGAAGTGTCTTTTTTCTAGTGAATATCCTTTGGCCATTTTTCCAAATAGAGGAAAATTACTTCATTCTCAAAGTACTGGAAACGTCTTTGCTTTCTCTGCACACTGGATTGATCACTTAACCGGGTCACAGATTCCACATAGAAAATCATTTTCCCTCAACAGTCTGAAGGTGGGCTGCATTCTGATGCAGCAGGTAAAGCCACCTCCTGATAGCAAAAAGTAGCATACCCTAGAAAGTGTCTTGAATATGGATTCTCTCTATAATCAAGCTCAAGACACAGACTTGAGAAAGTAGTTTATTTGAAATATAACTCTAGGAAACGGAATAAAAGACAGGAGAGTAAGAGAAGAGGTAAGACATTAAAGGGTCCAGTTTGAGCTTATTGCATCTGTAGGTAGTTGGAGTCTGATCCTGCAGGGGACCCTCAGAAGAACCTGGTATTATACAGTTCAAAGTTGAGGGACAGTGCCTCAGGCCCACATGTTATTGTCTTCAAGTTCTATCTTAACTGAGCCTTTAAACGGTCTTCTAACATGTTGTGAGCCTAATTGTTACCAAGCAATGTGATACTTTAGCCTGATGTTCATGGATCAAAGTCATGAGCCAATGATCACATCTCTTTTCCCCAAAATGTGCTTATAAGTCCAAGACAACATCATTGAGGTTCCATGCCATGTACATTAAGTTCTAAGACAATAGTGATAGTAAAATTGGGGAGTGTAAACCCATATTCTGCTGTACAAAAGCTTGAGTTAAATAAACGAATGATCAGCCTGAGCCTAAACTAAAAGAGAGGCCTCATAGAAGATCAATGAAGGGGCTAGCACTGTGGTGTAGTGGGTAAAGCTGCTGCCTGCAGTGCCAACATCCCATATGGGCGCCAGTTCAAGTCCTGGCTGCTCCACTTCCCATCCAGCTCTCTGCTATTGCCTTGGAAAGCAGTAGAAGATGGCCCAAGTCCTTGGACCCCCACACCTGTGTGGGAGACCTGCAGGAAGCCCCTGGCTCCTGGCTTCAGATCGGCACAGCTCCGGCCGTTGTGGCCAAACAGCAGATGGAAGACCTCTCTCTCTCTCTCTCTCCTCTCTCTCTCTCTCTGCCTCTCCATCTCTCTCTTTATTTCAAATAAATAAATAAGTCTTTTTTAAAAAGAAGATGATCAATGAAGAACTAAGATATCAGACATGAGAGTAAAGACCTGGACCCATAAGACTAGGCAAGGGGCCAGCACCGTGGCTCACTTGGTTAACCCTCCGCCTGTGGCGCCGGCATCCCATATGGGTGCCAGGTTCTAGTCCCGGTTGCTCCTCTTCCAGTTCAGCTCTCTGCTGTGGAGGGCAGTGGAGGATGGCCCAGGTGCTTGGGCCCGTGAACCCATATGGGAGACCAGGAGGAAACGCCTGGCTCCTGGCTTCAGATTGGCACAGTGCAGGCCGTAGCGGCTATCTGGGGGTGAACCAACGGAAGGAAGACCTTTCTCTCTGTCTCTCTCTCTCTCATTGTCAAACTCTATCTGTCAAATAAATAATGAAAAAATAAAAAGACTAGAGAAGCCACCAGCTGAGTATCTGATACTTTATGGAGCAGAATAGCTGCCCATACCAGCCTGGCCCAAATTCCTGATCCTGCTTGGGCCCCTTCCACCCATGTGGGAGACCTGAAAGAAGCTCCTGACTCCCACCTGGCCCAGACCCAGCCATTGAAGCCATCTGGGAAGTGAACCAGCAGATGGAAGATCTGTGTGTGTGTGTGTGTGTGTGTGTGTAACTCTTCCTTTCAAATAAATTAAAAAAAAAAAGCTCTATGCAGTGAGGATTTCATTACTATTCCTTAGGATACTCTATATGTGGGGCCATCAAGTCCATTCTGAAAATGAACTTCAGAGTATCACCAACACACTGAACCAACCTATCCATAAACCAAGCTGGGAATTTCTCTGCTCTCTCAGTTGGCCATTAGGAACTCTTCAAGAAGCTATAGGGGTGAGCTAAAGGGTAAATATGTGTGCAGAGGAAGTCAGGAGATATGGAGTTCAGGGCCACCATCCTGACAGCATATCATACCCTCTGACTAGCTCCCAAAGATTCCATTTCCTTAACACACAATTGTCCCTCCTCCTCCCCAACATCATGACTTGAGGGACCTAACTCATGACATATTTCATAGTTGCTTGATACTCCCATGGTCAGGTTCCCAATTTATACTGCAGTAGCATAGCATTCTGGAAGCTGTTTTTCAAATGGTTAGTATTTCTCTGATGTGGAAGTTATAACCACGCTATCTCTAGAGATCTTCCCTATAATTCTGCTGGGGCTTTCCAGAGATTCTGTAGCTCATCCTTGTCCTAGGAAAACTGTGAGGTAGGAAGTTGACATGAGGGACACTGGGCCATAAGACCCTCCTCCAGAGGAGAAGCCAAGGACATGTGCTCTTGCACATGGCCCACTAAAGAGCCACCCAAGCACACCCACTTTGCAGTGTGGTTAACACTTTGCTGTGGTTAACATATCCTGATAAAAAGGGAACTCAGCAAAACCAGAAAATTCCAGTATGGCACATATACAATGAGACCTCCACTTGACACGAAGGCAACCCAGCCTCATTATATGGTCACGATGATAGAATCAGCACTGCAGGTTTAGAGCCATTCCATCTTCCAAAATGCCTTTGAAGGGCAAGAGAGACCCAATTCACAGGGCTGTGTTTTTCCAGGAAAGGTTCTGCCAAAGGTGCTGATCAGAGATATACAGCCACATCACAAACACTACAGCCCTTAGACTTAAAAATAAATACCCCAAACCCCAAGGGAACTAGGAGGTTCTCCGTCTCTCTTTACTGGCCCATTCCTCCCTTGGAATGTACTTTATTAAACTTTGCTTTTCTGCTTTTATTTCACTGATGTGTAATTCTTTACCACATTGACGAGAAGGACCAAGCCCAAACCGGCCTCCACTAGTATTGTGCTGACTCCTAATTCGGTTACATATGCCTTACAACAAGAGCAATCAATCAGACAGCACCGTATTCTGAACATGCTTCTCAGTCCCTTTATTCTCTGGGCTCCACTCAAAACACAATCTTCCGGTTTGTCTAATAAATGGTAAGAGCAATATTTTTAAGTATATGTGCTGTCTTCAAAATCCAAAAAGGTCATTGCTCCTGTGTGCTTTTTGTATGATAGGAAATTCAAAGTACAGTAATATTTGCTTTACCTTAAAGGAATAAACTTATATAGCCCAGATCACTGAATCCCCAAAAATGTAACAGATATGGCAAGCTCCCAAATCACTGTAGGATTTTTATTCCAGGCTACAGTACCCATGGATCTTGCCAAAGTATCCAGATTACTTGTTCTTTCCTATGCAACAGCCTAATTAGCAATGCCGTCAATCTAATGACTACTATGGTGTTCTGTGACTATCAAGATGTTTGAGGTCCTTTTCTTTTATACTTTGACAGAAAACCAAGGAGTTAACATAATCTTGCAGCTGTCTTTGTTATACTGATGTTCTCTGCATTGATCCTTTTACCAGATGAGAAAAGACATTTTCTAGATCAATAGCCACATACTAAGTACTAGAGAGTGCACTAAGAGATCTGTGACACTACATCCTAGTAAGATAGTGCTTTGGGGGCAACCGTTTAGCAAAATTCACCATATCCCCTCTCAATCTGTCTGACTTTTTCATGGACAATAGCAGTGATTCAAATGAAATATGATGGGGTACTTCTTCTGCATCTCTTAAATATTCAAAAAGGCATTAATTATGAAATTCCACCAGAATTAAAATAATATTCTGATTCATTGTCTTACTGGGAGAAATAAATTTAGTGACAGTTGAATTTGAGAATATGGGACCAGTATTCTGGTAGTGGGTTAAGCTGCCACTTGTAACACCAGCATCCTATATCAGATCACAGATTCCAGTCCTGGCTGCTCCACTTCCCATCCAGCTCTCTGCTAATGTGCCTGGGAAAACAACGAATGATGGCCCAAGTGTTTGGACTCCTGCTGCCCATCTGGGAGACCAGGATGGAATTCCTGGCTCCCAGCTTCTGACTGACCTAGCCCCAGCTGTTGTAGCCATTTGGAGAGTAAACTAGCAGATAGAGGAGAGAGAGGGAGAGATGATCTATCTGTCACTCTGCTTGTCAAGTAAGTAAAGAATTTTAATGTTAAAGATCATGAAAGAAAGAACAGCAGAACCCACGTGATTTCCTTTAACTAACTGGCCTTTTGTACCAGAATGGTGTTTACTCCAGATTGGGTAAACAAGGTGAGCATTCTTCCAGTTGCAAGGAAT